ATCATGTGTTTAGTTCCGATATAATAATATTGTCGATTATTATTTTCGGAATTAAATTATTTCAGTCGAGATTACTCGAAATTATTTTCGAAGTCACGTTTACGTTCGGATTAATTTTGGTAATTAAGTATCATGCTTAATTAATTAATTAAGCATATTGATTGTGATTAATTAAGATTAATCATGATTAATCACTCAAATACGTAGCATTTGAAGGTTTCCAAATAAATAATGTCGTGAGCATTATTTGGTTCAAGTCATGTGATATTACCATGCAATTAAGCATGAGGTGTCATTATCTTAACACCTAAACATATGACTAAGCTATGAGTTAGCACCTAAAGCTCCTAAGGTTAGCAAGTGGCATAAGATGAAGAGGACACCAAGCTCTCCACCTCCCCATTTATTTTCAGGTCACGGAGTCGGAGCCGAGGAGTGAGCTGGCGACCGGTTCAGGACATTTGTATATATGTATAAATCATGTTTGGCTACACTATGGTTCTGCTACTGTTTCAGTTTACTAATCCAACTTTTGATCCGACTTTAGTCGGTTATCATGGTATATAACAGTTTTATTAGTAAAATAAAATAACGGTTTTCAGAATAAGACAGATTTTACGGTAACATTCCGAATCAGTATTTCGCAAAATAAATGCTTTTATTTAGAAAAGTTCTGTGAAATCGCACTCTGGTTTTCATGTTAAGGCGGGGTGTTACATTTACGGAGAGTTTTGTCTAGTAAATTGATTTCTTGAGCACCTGTATAAGGCCTGCATCTTTGTTGATTTGCTGTACCTATTCTGTTATTCATTATCTCACTCCATCTGTGCTTTTAGTTTTTAACTTATACATCATTGTTTATTATGTAGACATATTTTGACGTCCGTGATGGATTAGACCCTGTTGCCCTCAATTTGAGTAGCATGGGAAAAGGTCAGGTATGGGTAAATGGGAATCACATTGGGAGATATTGGACTCTGAATGCTCCCAAGGATGGATGTCAAACATGCGATTATCGTGGGACTTATGATCCTGAAAAGTGTGTAACAAATTGCGGGCATCCTACTCAATCATGGTAATCTTCACCACAAACCAGTGCCAACCTTTTTTTTTCAATTTTTTTTATTCTTTTTGGTTCAGTTTAGATATGTGTGTTATATAGGCTGTGTGTGGTAAGCATATAAGCTAACTTAAAGCTTATTTGATCAATAGTTTTTTGTATTTAAATAAGCTGGGTTTTGTAGGAAGAGTTTTTTTTAAAACGCTCGAGCTTATCTCATAAGCTTCATGGTAGCTTTTCAAATAAGCTCATTGAAATTTATATTTCAGCTAGTTATCAGCTAATTTTAACACTTCTAAAGTGTTTCAACCACAAATCATAAGCTATCAGCTATAACCTTGAAATTCACTTTATAAGCTAACTTATCAGCTAGATTTACCAAACATAGTCGTAACAACAACTCAAGAAGCTTATAGATGGGTTAAGCTCAACATTTTCATTCCGAAATACAATAAATTCTAGCGTGTCGATGATGATGCATATTCAGGTATCATATACCAAGATCATGGTTAAAGGCTTCAAACAATCTGCTCGTAGTCTTTGAGGAGACTGAAAAAAATCCATTCGACATATCCATAAAGTCACATTTCACAGAGACAATTTGTGCTCAAATATCAGAAGATCATTATCCTCCTCTGCATTCCTGGTCGCTACCAAAGTCCAGCAATGGATCAATTATGTTGAATAATTCAATACCTGAAATGCACTTGAGTTGTGATTCTGGATACACGATCTCTCGTGTTGAGTTTGCAAGCTATGGAACTCCCCAAGGCGGGTGTAGGAATTTTTCCAGAGGCAATTGCCATGCAGCCACTTCATTGGAAGTAGTATATCAGGTATGAAACTGGTTCGATAGGATGTGTTTGTTCTGGTGGAAAACTATGTTTGTGTATTCTAAATTGATGAATATCGTGCAGAAATAGATGATGCCTCGAGCACACGCGCACTACAATAAAGTGTTGAAATTCTACCATAGTATATTCCAATGGAATTCCAACGGCAATTCCAGCAGCGGATATTCCAATGCTAATATTTTCGTTGGATTTTTTCATTGGATTCCAACGGAAATTCGAACAAAAATATTCTGTCAGAATGAGTTTTCATTTTTTATGAACGAAATTCCAACAAAAAAAAAAAGAACCTGTCAGAATGAGTTTTCATTTTTTATGATTACAGCTGTAGAATTCCAACGGTTGAAATATGAGTGGAAATAAAAATTCCAATGAGAATTCCTACGGTAAAAAGTTGTTGGAAAAATAGTCGTTGGAACCACTACAAAAAAGTTGTCATATTCCAACGAAAAATCCTACGGTAATATATTTCCATGGAAATTTCAAAGGATATTCTAATGCTATAGCTTTCTTTGAAATGATTTTAATGAAAATTCTAACAAGAGTATTCCGTTTGAAATGAGTTTTTCATTGGAATTTTAGATGGAATTTCATGATTCCAACGTCTATTTTTTCAACCGTTTTTTTATAGTTGGAATTCTTTATTTACACTAATATTTCAGCCATTCGAAAATTTATTGTTTGAATCATCAAACTCCAACAAAAATTTCAATTGGAAAACTCATTGCAACGGAATATTTTTGTTGGAATTTTCGTTGGAATCCGTTCAAAAATTCCAACAGAAATAATAGCACAGAAATATCCATTGAAATTGTTGTTGGAATTCCAATGGAATATGGTGGAATTTTCGTTGACATTTTTATTGAAATATATTTACCGTAGAATTTTTCATTGAAATATGACAATTTTTTCGTAGTGGCACCGTTATATGCATTCTAAATTGAATTTCGCTACTACCCTTATATTGAAGTAATTATTTCAGTTGATGAAAGATTAAAGCAATTGATCTTGTATGTAGGCTTGTGTGGGAAGACAAAGTTGTTCCATCATCATATCAAACAACGCATTTGGAGGAGACCCATGCCGTGGTATCGTCAAGACTTTATCCGTCGAGATGAAATGCTCTCCAATTGCAGCGTCATTTTCTACTGGCTTGGGCAGTAATGAAATGATTGTCTCGACCTCTGTCTCTTCGTTTTAGATACCAATCTTGGTGCTTCCTTGTCAAAACGCCAGTTGTGACCTTCAGCTCATCTA